CATTTAGAAATGTGAGAGGAGATTGTCAGTGTGGAAAGAGAGGTACTTATCTAAAGGGGGAAAGATAACTTTAATCCATAGTGTTCTCTCTAGTTTGCCAACCTTTTATCTGTCACTTTTCTCATTGCCAGCYTTGGTTGCTAGTGTGCTGGAAAAACTGAGGGGGGATTTTCCGTGGGAAGGTCCCAACGAGGAAAGGAAAATTCACTTGGCTGCATGGGATTCCATTTGCAAACCAAAAGAGCTGGGTGGAGTGGGTTTCAGAAGGCTAAAGTTGATGAATGATGTTCTGTTGTGTAGATGGTTGTGGAGGTTTGGGAAAGATTTAGGTTATTGAATGTAAATGTGGAAGCTCTATGACGGACTGGGTATAACTCATGCCACCACAATCTAATGGCACTAGTGTGTGGAAAGGAATCCTGTCTTGTCTCCCACTATTACAGCAACACATTTCTTACAAGGTGGGGGATGGAAGCAGAGTTCTGTTTTAGAAAGTGTCCAGATCAGCCATTGGCAGACTGCAGACGTGTGCCCCACTCTTTTTTCATTATCTTTGAATAAGGTTGGTGTGGTTAGAGATTTCTTTGAGTTGATAAATGGCCAGATTTGAAACTGGTGATTCAAATCTTCGAGCAAATGTCAAATTTGAAAGTGAATTTCGGGAAAACTTGTGTAGTGGGTGTGAATATGGAGGAGGGAGAGATTAGGGAGAATGCAGAAGTGCTTGGGTGTGAAGTTTTAGGGTGGCCTATGAGTTATTTAGGGTTGCCCTTAGGTGATAATCCCAAGAGAGAGAGCTTTTGGAACCCGGTGGTGGAAAGATTTGAAAAAAGACTTGTCTCTTGGAAAAAGAATTGCCTCTTTCTTGGTGGAAGGACTACACTGATCAAGGCCACACTAGCAAACTTACCCATTTATTTCCTTTCAGTGTTCAAAATTCCAGTGAAGGTTTCCAGTAGGTTGGAGAGGTTGATGAGAGATTTCCTTTTGGAGCCAGGAGAAGAGAAGAGGGACCATAGAGTTAGCTGGAAAGTGGTGACCAGGAGTAAAGCTTATGGTGGTTTGGGCTTTGGGAACATCGGGAAAAGGAACTCGACCCTCTTGGGAAAGTGGTTGTGGAGCTGGAGCAGGAGAAGCTATGGGCTAGAATAGTGGCAAGCATACATGGGATGGGGCAAAATGGATGGGATGCTGGAATCAGAGCAAGGACCACAAGCACTTCACCTTGAAAGCCATTCATGGTTTGCTTCTAGTCTTCTCCCCACTTGTTAGGTATGATTTGAATTCGGGTAATTACATAAAATTCTAGGAACAAACTTGGGTGGGGAATGTTCCACTCAAGTACCAGTTTCCTTCTCTGTATGCTCTCTCTAACTTTAAAAATAAGCCAATTTCTTCTTTCATCACCCCTTCCTCTTCCAGTTCTAGGTTTGGGTGGAACCTGGGTCTGAGGAGGGCTATGAGGGACTCAGACCTCCACAGTATTTTGAGCCTCCTTGACTTTCTTGATAATGTTTTTTTAGACTCCTCTAAGGTGGAGTCTAGAATTTGGACCCCTACCCCCACGGGCTCTTTTTCTTGTGCTTCTTTCTTCAAAGTCTTATGCCAATCCACCAGTCCTGCAACCTCCCCTTTCCCGGTTAATGAGGTTTAGTGCAGACCAATTCCTCCTAGGGTTGATAGTTTTTGTTGGGAAGCCTATATGGAAAGATTCAACACTAGTGATTTGCTCCAAAAGAAGAGACCCAATACTTGCTTGTCACCTCATTGGTGTGTTTTGTGCAAAGTGGATGGGGAGACTGGTTTTCACTTACTGGTGTCTTGCCAATTTGCAAAGTCAATTTGGGAATGGGCTTTTTCTCTCTTTGGGCACAGGTGGAACCCTCCATCAGATTTGCAAAGCCTATTTTCCCCTTCTTTTTTCAGGTGGCACATGAAAAGGGGAAGGACTATGTGGAGAGGACTGAGGGCTGCAGTATGCTAATCATTATGGGAAGAAAGAAATCTTAGGATCTTCTCAGAAGATGAGAGAGGGGCTGAAGAATTGAGGGCTGTGATCCATATAAGGGCTGTACAGTGGCTGAAATCTTTAGAGTTATTCAGACTACACAGTGGATGACATGTTGAGGAAGTGGGGTGAGATTGCAAACTGCACACAGACCAAATCAGTAGTGAGGGTGTCTTGGACCCCCCCCCCACCTGCTGGTTTTTTAAAATTAAACTTTGATGGGAGTTGTAGGGAGAATCCTGGACAATCAGGGATTGGGGGTGTTTTTAGCGATGAGAACGGGATCATTTCTGCTATGTTCTCAGGCCCAATAGGAGTGGGGGATTTCCCTTAGAGCTGAGATCTTGGCAGTTATGGAAGGAGTCCAGAAAGCTAAGGAGATGAATGTTAGAAAAATCATAATTGAAGGGGACTCGGAGGTTGATGAAAGACAACTGTGGATTATGGAACTACTACAATGAGAGGAGGAAATTCAAGTGGCCGGTGCGGGAAATGGAAGTCAGGATGAGTTGGGTCAAAAGAACAGCTAACTCTATAGCTGATGGATTAGCTAAGCAGGGGATAGAAAGGGATGCAATGTTTTGGGCCAAGTTGTAACTAAACTGTTTCTTCTTTTCTTTTGAGGATTTAAGTTGTGTTTGGAAGATAAGAGTGTTTGTCTTCCTTGCTGTAATTATTCTTATGCTGTTTTAATGAATTTAATGAATCTGTTATTGATAAAAAAAAATAATAATAATAAATGGCCAGATTGTTTGGGTCCCCAGATTATGTAGAAATCTGAATGATTGGGAGGTGGAAGCTTTGGGTATGCTGTTGAGCAGGTTGTATTATGTCCACCATCTCAATAACTCAAGGGATGTTAGGCTGTGGTCAAAGGGAAAGGAGGGTCAATTCTCAACTAGAATTTGTTATGAGGTTCTTTTTGGCTTGGGTGAAAAGGTAGCCTGGTATTGAGTTTGGAAAGGCTGATGTTCCATCCAAGATTAAGTTCTTTGTGTGGATGGCTGTTAGGATAAGATTCAGTCTGCTGAATATTTATTGAGATGCGGTTTGGAACTGGATAGCACCTGCATTTTGTGTGGTTCAAGTCCTGAATCTATCCACCATCTTCTAATTCACTGCCCCTATACATATCAGGTTTGGTCCATTTTGCCAAGCTTTCAGGTGTGTTGGGGTCCCTCCTTCCTCCATGGCTGAGTTAGTCTTGGGTTGGAATGTAGCTGCTTCTCAGATAAAGGTAGTTTTCTATGGAACAGCCTGCTATTTGCAGTTTGTTGTGTGTTATTGGAAGGAGTGTAACCAAGGGATTTTTGAATCTAAGTTTGTTCCAGTGGAGGCCATCATAGGGTGGGTGGAGAGAACTGTATTGAGTTGGGAGGGTGGAGAGAACTGTATTGAGTTGGGCTAGGTGCTCAAAGATTTTTGTGGGAGTGACCACCAGCTTTTTTTCCAATCATTGGTGGTTCATCATCTTTTGATTTTTATAGAGTTTTGTTATACAAAGGTTTGCATTGTACATGATCTGTGTATCTTTATAGGCACTCTTTTGTATATGGTTGAGGGCCTCTTGCCCTCCTTTCGATTTTTAATACAATACATTTGATATTGCTTACACAAATCATTTTTAGGGCTTAAGAATTTTAAAACCCTAACATGGACTTGTTTGGGCTTTGCCTCAAGGGGCTTGGTATAAAGGCGTCTTGTAGATTGGTCCTCACATCCATCTCACAGCCCTTGCAGCCACACATCTGGAGCATCTCTGTACTTGTACGTTTTATTCATGGGGAAATGTTCCCAATGCACAGCTGCAAGTGCTGTGAGGACCAATTCTGTAAGGAAATCCGGATTCCTTTTGTTGGGTTAGCCACTGTACACTTTTATGTTGCACAAGTGAACGATCACATATATGCATTGCCTAATGCATTTTTAGTTTTAACCACTCAATCTAGGCAGCAGTTTGCCTATTGCCTAGGTAGTATCAAGGTGGATAGTTTTATCCACTTAATCTAGGCAACAATTTACCTATTGCCTAGGTAGTATCAAGATGAGTACTACACTTAGGTTAACTGTATTTGTGCCATGACTTGCTTTATTAGCACATATCTTTTTGTTCCTTTTGTTATAAAATAAATGAACTGTGTATAACAAAAGTATTGCCCAGTAAAATAACAGAAGCATTGTAAGCTACATTATTTAGTTGTCTCCTTCTAAGCATCTGTGCAAGGAACCATAGGTCAAAAGATCAGGTTTCTCTCTGGTAGCCTTAATATTTGTTCCATTATTCTACCTGTAAATAATTATTTTACACTCGCCATTTTTTGGCAAGGTTCGAAGTATTGATACGCCCAACATGCGGGAACATAGTTTGACCAGTGGTACTATAAAAAACCCTTTTTTTCCTTCCATATTTTGATCAGTGGTCAGTTTGACCGTTGTTTAACATGTAAAACTGACAGATTTCGGAAAAGCCTTACAAAGGCAAATCGGCCACCTGCCAATACAATATAATACACCTGATATGGGGTGTATTGTGTCAAAATTTTGAACCTTGGTTTTCAGAAAATGCTTTATATACATAGTATGACTTTATATCTTGTGTTATATATATTTCATTCTATTTTTCAGCCTTTTGGATATATGATAATTCTAATTTCATCATCCAAATTTATTGACTTCATTATTTTTCTAATTCCTGGGTGTCCCATTGGAATTGTGTAAGCCATGATTACCTTGGAGTGCCAAAACTCATGGACATTGCTTACCGGCCTTAGCTGGCCTTAGCTACCTTGGGGGAGTGCACTGGGCTGCCCTTTTTTTATATGAAACTTTATTGATGTTCATAATAGAATGAAATGAACCAATTTTACAGCATCCTTGGTGCTTTCAGAAAAATGTGTACTTGCATATGCACATATCTGGGATCTAATGCTTCTGATGTTTAAAGTCTGATTTTTTTTTTTTTTACCTTCTGACTGGTGCCTTGTTTTTTCAGAGCCCATACTTTGTTAACATCCTTCTGGCTGGCTATGATAAGGAGACTGGTCCATCTTTGTACTATATCGACTACATTGCCACCCTTCACAAGATTGAGAAGGGTGCTTTCGGGTATGGATCCTATTTTTCTCTGTCCATGATGGACAGACACTACCACAGTGGGATGTCAGTTAAAGAAGCAATTGATTTGGTCGACAAATGCATAATGGAGATCCGGTCCAGGTTGGTTGTGGCACCTCCGAATTTTGTGATCAAGATTGTTGACAAAGATGGAGCAAGGGAATATGCCTGGCGAGAATCCATCAAAGACACTATTGCTCCTAATACTGCCTGAAATTCTTTTTGTTTCACCAAGACACTCTTCTCCATTTTGTTTGTCCTTTTGTCATTTCCTTTAAAGATGGGGCGACTGTTTGTCATGGAACATTATGGCTCTATTTCCTCTGTTCAAACTGATGTCATTACATACACCCCATCTGTTCTTGAGATGTAGCCAATGTGTCGAAGAAAGAGCACAGTGAAGGAATTGACAGGCTGGTACATGACATTCTTGGTTCTTCTAATTCTCTTGTATTCCCATCTTAGATGGTTTTCTAAAGCGAAAGATTGCACGATTCAAGCCGGGTGTCTTGAGTCTGTAGACTTTTGATATGTAGGCCGGGAGGCCATCCTTGTTTTTCATTGTATAGCTTCTAAGGCTCTCTCTGGAAGAGGTCCTGAGTCAGACCACGGTTCATGTCCCTTATGGACTCGAGCCCTTTCCAGTGAGCCTATTTCATCCTAATGCAACATGATTACATGAGTTTTCCTACCAAGAAAGAAAAAAACATAAAGAAGAATATTAAAGTACCGATTAGATTAGCTTGGCCGCAGTAAGAGTCATTCATTGGTTGGTATAATGGTAAAATCTTGTGATGAGGCTGAGTTCTTGGGTTGGGCCGTATCCAGCCCACCCCTCCAAGACCCCAGCCCCTTGTCACAGTGCACACGTCAACCCCTTATTTTCTTCCCAGCATGGTTGGTGCCTGTTGTGATTTACAAGTAAGCTACCAATATTGATGCATTTTGTATGTTTTAATGTGGTTAAGTTTCCATAGCAGAGCTACATAATAAATTTCAGTTGATATCTATGTAAAAGAGCCCTTGGAGCATTTAAACCACTAAAACAGCAATACAAGGCTCATATATTTCAGTATCTGTTCGCAAAAAGCAGTTATGGCCGTACCAAGGAACTCAACAGACATCATGAAACAAGATTGATGAATTGGCTCAGTGAAGTAAGTAGGTGCATATGGGAGTGAAAAAGAGAGAGATTCCAGGTAAGGACCGGTAATTGCTGCTATCAGCCGGCTTCAATGTAGAAATATTGGGAACAGGCTCTGGTGAGTAATCTTCTGGAATGGATGAACTCACAACAGATTCCGGTGGTGTGCTTGTAGAAGCTGCTGCTGGGGAATTCTCAGCGCTTCCTGCAGATTGATAACTAGAATTAGTGTTGGTATTTATCAACCCAAGTTCCCACTTGATCATGTTTGAGCGGATACAAAAATTCAAATTCATCTTTTTGTCTATCTACCCTTAGGTGAAAACTCCAAATCCTTATAAATCATTTGAACTCGTGAATGTCAGATTCAAGTTTTTTATTTTTTTGGTTTTTTTCTCGTAGCCCAAGATTCGTAACCAGCTAGAAACCTTACCAACTGAGCCTGTTGGTGAATCGCGAGTTCTAATCGTCTACCATTCTATTTGTAGTACTATGCCAATCACAGTAGTGGTCAGGTGAAGTCGGTCGGTTGCACTATTACAGTATTACGTTGGAATTGGGATCTGCTCCTTAAATTGCGCACCTCATGGTGGGATGTCCCAGTGAGGTCGGTGTGAGGAGTGATTTGTGAGGAACATATCCGGACGGACCGGACTCATTACATTGACATGGCGTTTCGTGATTGGCTTAATCCTTAGTATCATTGGAATCCTGACACGGACCTCACGGTTACATCCCACCGTCTCCCCATGAATAACGAATACAAACACAGAAGATGTTTCCTATGTGCGGCCGTCAGAACATGCTGTGAGATTGGTGTGAGGAGCGCGAGGAACAGTTCCGAACTTTCCAACAGCCTTTGCTGCCATGCATTGGGAACATCTTCCGGATGTACAGCTACCATGCCTGGTGGGAATCTATTGGGAGGGACTAGGATCCGGTTTTACTACCGAAGGCCTGAAAGAGAAGTTACTGGATAATGGATTGGCATTACCAGAATCAGAGGGATTTGCAGGCCCGAAACCTGCGAGATTCAAACAAAAAAATCAGAAAACAGTTTTGTAAAAAAAGAAAGGGTCCCAAAAAGAAATAAAGAGATTTTYGGTCTACAAAATACAATCCATAAAGAACGACGAAAGAATATGTATGGAAGAATCATACCGGTTGTGCTCCCGAGTGGAGGTAATGATTCCGACTCTGTTGCAAATGATCGATAATCAATTAATTAGTTGAGGAATTAATCATTTAATTGCTTCATCTTTTCTGAAATCGTAAGAAGCAATGAAGAATTCTTTAAGAAAAGAAAAGATCAAAAGAAGTTATTATTAAGAAAGAAATTATTATTAATCCTAATCAGAGTGATGCTTGGTTTTGTCGCCAAATATAGACACATAGCGATGAGATCGGATTGGAGAATATTTTCTCCAGTAACATCGCTACAGCGCATTACTCCTTTCAATTTGATGCCAAAACGACTAGCCGCCAAGTTAGCAAAACGGAAACTCGAAAGGAAACGGCAAAGAGCAACCACTGAAAGAAAAAATGAAGAAAGAAAGCCGAAACAAGAACAAGATTGAAGAATTTAAAGCAATACTTTCGCAGAGAAAACGCAGAGAGGTTGTATTGGCTGTTGTTTGATTGGCGTTCCTTGAAGGACAGACAAACGAAAGAGATAGGATCCTCGTAGTGTTGAGAGGGAAACCAAGGAGTGAAGGCTGGCGGACGAGGTAGCATAGACAGGCAGATCTACTAGTGTCGGAGAATATGGCGGAGAAGGCATTACAGCACGGAGGAAAGGCCAAGGAAGAGCGGTTGTTCGGCGGTGACGCCAGGTAAGGCAGGCATGGCGACAAGGCTACCAGTTCGTTGGAACAGCCTCGGAACGGCACCTCGTTTACCGCCATTGCGGCAGTGAGACATAGGACAAGCATCATCGCTGCTGGAGATATCGTAACAGGCTTCATGACTGATTCGGTACTGCTGTCTTCCGATTTTCTTTGTGGTAGTGGTAGGAGAAACCGAGAAACAGATAAAGTGTTGCATGAAATACTTATAAGTGAATCGGAATGGCGGGAGGCTCCCTTATTTTAAAAAGAATGTTATTACCGAAGAGAGAGAGAGAGAGAGAGAGAGAGTTCCATTAGTCAGTCTACTGTTAGCTGATGGGTAATACTTGGCTACTATCCCGTACAAGCGTCCTACTAGGGTGAGAAAAAAATTTAAAAATCGAACCGACCGAAATCGAAACTAAAAGTCGATTAATCGAATCGGCCGGTTCGATTAAACCCCAAATCCTAATATCTAAATTCTGTCTAAACCTTTCAACTAAAGTATAAACCCCAAATCCTAATATCTAAATTTTAAACTMTTAAATCCTAAACTTAAATCCGTAAACCCCTAAACTTTAATTTTATTGTATAAAATAAATTTGGTTGTGATGATGCGTGGATTTGCCTGCTTCCCTATTAGAGGACGGCTCGAACTAAGTATATTGAGGTTGGATACCTATTCGTAAAAGGAGAAGAGGATTAGAGTGTCCAGGTGTTTAGATTCTAGACTCAGGGTGAGCATTCGGATGTTGGGCCTTTATATAGATAGACATTGGGGTTTAAGTTCTTTTTGCTCGAGATATCTAAGGATGTTGGGCCTTATCGGCCCGTTATCTTAGGGGCATGTTTCTCTCACGTAGGTAATCGTCATCCGATCTCCCTGGGTTATACGGAGAATGGGGTCATCGCACCGGATGGGGGCGTTCTACCACCTGATTCAGAAACCGATAGGCACATTATTCTGGATAAGGTTAACCTGCCATGCAGGTCGGTACCCTGGAGGTCAGCTGGCTGTTTGGGTCTCTGGTTGCCCGGGTCGGAGAAGTGCAGGTCGGCCTTCGGCCTTCTTTACCGAGGTAGAGTGCACTGCTTTGTTGTCCCGTCGATCTCCTTAAGTCGACTTACACGTGGTACTTGGTGCTAACGTGCTTCTCGGCAGTTTGGATGTGCCACGTGTTGCTCTATGTCAGGTCAACCAAATTACTCCTCATCAGATTGGATGCATGTCCTCCAACATCGCATGAGYCAAGTATTTTCCAGTGGATGATGCAATGTATCTTGATTGACGATCACTGTTTTAAAAACCTGATCGAATTAGATGGTCGGATCATCCGGGTAATGACTATTTTGGGATAAGAACACTGTGCATGTACTCCCCCTCAAAAATCTGAATTGGCTGCCACTCCTATTCTATTAGTACTATATCTTGCCCATGAATTTAACATCAATCCACTGGTAGGATTCAGTCCACTCCTAAAAATTTTAGCTCTATSGTAGGAATGGATTAAAYTATAAACCTCCCTTTTTTTTTGAAAAAAACAAAAGCATAGAATTGGTCAAAGAACTGTTAACCCAGCCAGTCTAACTGTTAAAACCGTTTTAACTCAGGAGTGGTTCACAGGTCATATTTTATAGTACATGGGGCATCAAACTTGTTTTCAAAACCTAGATCCAACCTAATATGACTCATTACATTGTATTTATATAATTTTGGTGGTAATTTTTCATTATTTATAAATATTTCATAGTATATTTTCAGAATTTATAAATACTTTTATATTTTTTGAATTTATAATATCGCGGATTGAACCACTTGACCTAAACGGTTGAACCATTAATCTTAAATGATGGCTAAAGCAGTTCTGTTTCAAGGTTGGTTTTCAAAATCTTGTTGGCGAGAGCCGAATTGGAAGTTGAATCCAGTTCTATCTCACTATGGGTGATATGAATCTGATATTGTTATATTTGTTGCAATTTGGGATTACCCTAATTTGATCCATATATGATAATGTTTAACCATTTAGTAGGCAAGTTCTACGATGTTTGAAGCATATATATGGTACCGCAAGAACTTTGACCAATCAGAACTGTTTGTTGGTATCAAAGTGAAACTCCTAAATCCTAAGACTGCATTTGGTTGCAGTGCAAATTTTGACTCAGTGCAAAATTTTTACATGCATGATTCAGTTTTGCAATTTTGCATCACTTTTTTTCTACTTCAATTCTCTCACATAAAATGGAAACTGATGAGGGCAGATTTGGCCCTCCAATGACATTGTGACACCTTGTAACAAGTGTTCTCTTCGCCGCGCCATCAAGTGCCAACCAACGTGCCTACAGCCGCCACTCCAGTGTCAAAGTGTGTCATGGGTGGGCTATGCATGTACTTTTGTATGAGGGGATTGCCAATGGCATTATTGTAATACTGTAATATGATTTCCCACCTTTTTGATGTTTCTTATTGTCACTCCCCCAAAAKCTTAACATACTCTTTGAGGGGAGGTAGGTAGTCGAGTGAGCTCATAAGCGTGTAAAGGTTAAGCACGAGATCCCCTCGACACTGTACTGTGTGCTTGTGCTTGCCACTGATTATTGCAATACAAATAGCCTTTTGCTAACTCATGTTCCATCTTGTTGCATTTTTGTGTGTGTTTGCTTTGTTGTGTAGGCTTACTTGCCCCTTTCGAGTGTCGCACGGGGCCCCAACGATTATCCCCGTGACAGTTGGTATCAGAGCAGGAGTTCCTTTTAAGCCATTCGACCCGCGACGTGAGTGACATCATGAAGCATAACAGGGACATCGTGGAGGAGATCAAGCATGGACTCTCCACAGCCCATGAGGCCGATGATGCACCCGCTGATGACATCGGCAAGGACAAGGAACCGAAGCCCAGCAAATGTGAGAAATCTTCCAACAAGCATGCAGCCGTTGAGTTGCGCATGCTACGTTGTGAAGCCACCATAGGTGAGATGCGAGACTCGATAGACGAGTTGCATCAAAACATGGAAGCCATGGACAACACACTAGTCGAGATTGAAGGTCGGTTGAGTGGAGTCGTAGACGAGGTCTGAGACATAATCAATGGCACACTCAAGCAAATTTGTAGCATTGCGCGCCAACAAGAAGCAAGCTCCTCCAACTCCCAGGTCCAAGACAAGCTTGATAGTTTTCAAGCCCAGCTCGATGAGATGAAGAACGAGTGAGCAACGTGGAGAAGAAGCACCTCCACATCAATGGCTGTCCAGGCCCAACTAGATGAAATGAGAGCGGAGTGGGCCTCAATGAAGTCTGCCACATGTGCCTCCTCCGACACCCAAGCTCAATTAGAGGAGCTCAAAGCAGAATGTGAAATCCTGAAGAGGGCCGTCGCTAATCCAGCCAGCACTTCCTTTACACATACTCCCTCCCACATCAAAATTAGGGAGCCAACCCCCTATTTGGGTACCCGCAATGCACGAGAGCTCGACAACTTCCTGTGGCAAATGGAATAGTACCTTGTCGCCGCCAATGTGACTGATGAAATGACTCAGGTATGTACTACTACTATGTATTTGACTGATGTTGCTACGTTGTGGTGGCGCAGAAGGTGTGTTGATATAGAACGTGGAACGTGTGTTATCCGTACCTGGGCTGACTTTAAAAGAGAGCTGAAGAGACAGTTCTACCCAGAGAATGTGGAATACCTCGCTCGTCGCAAGATGAAGACTCTCAAGCACGGCGACTCCCTCCATGGCTATGTCAAAGAGTTTTCAGCCCTCACATTAGAAGTCACCGATATGTTAGACAATGACTTATTGTTCAACTTCATGGATGGTCTAAAGCCTTCGGCCGAGCTCGAGCTCTAACGACGCAATGTTCAGGACCTTGCCTCCGCCATGGCCGTGGCCGAACAACTTAGTGAACAGAGATTGTCGGATGACGAAGGAAGCAGACCAGCCAGCCCACGTACCACACATTCGAGTGGGGGAGATAGACAACCCAGTCCTCCGAAAGAGAAGCCACCCTTCAACCACAAACCAGTCGAGCACCACAAGGGTAAGCAGCCACAAGGAAGTCAAAGTTACTACAATAACAATTATCAAGGGAGACCAAGTCGTCCTCCCATTTGCTACATTTGTGGGGAGGAGCACTTCACCAGGAATTGCCCAAAGCGAGCAAAGTTGAATGCCCTCATTGCCAAATTAAGTGATGATGAGCAGAGTGATGGGGAATGGAGTACCCAGGCACCAAGAGTGGGCACCCTCCAACTTTTCAATGCCATGAGGAAGAAAGGGGCTACCTCCAAACAACCCTCCTCAGTCAAGAGAGGACTGAGGTATGTTGATGTAACCATTGGCGGGAGGCCAACCAGGGCCCTAGTTGACACAGGGGCCACTCACAACTTCATATCCATTGCAGAGGCCAAGAGACTTAACTTGGCCGTTTCCAAAGAGCCTGGCTGGCTCAAAGCAGTTAACACAGGTGCCAAACCTACTGAAGGCATGACCCTCCGAGTAAGACTACAACTCGGCACCTGGGATGGAGAGATTGACCTCTCCGTCGTCCACATAGATGATTTTGATATTGTCCTTGGAATGGACTTCATGATACAGGCAAAAGCGGCACCAGTGCCTCACCTCGACACCCTGATGATCTTGGACGAGCAGTCACCTTGCATGGTCAACATGATCACCACCACCAGCACCAAGAAGAAGCAAGTCTCTGCCTTGCAACTCCAACACCACCCTCAACCATTGATGGCAGAGAAATCTACAACCACCACTAGTGCAACCAGAAGTGATCGTAGCAACTCCAGGAAGAAGTCAGCGCCAACGCCAACGTCAGTGCCAATGTCGCCACAACAACAGCAGTGGAAGCCACCTTTACAGCAGAAGCCGCACACACTCACAACTAGTAGGCCCAATAGAAGACCCAAGGCCGTGTCAAACTTTGCCCACATCTACTACCACAACCACTGGGGAGAGCGAGTGCCACCCAAACCATTTAGGGACCACATTCACATCATCCCTCAAGCTAAATCTCGTAGTAGCCCTGTGAGTCACCCTTGGGGACAAATTTATGGGAATCAACACCCTAATAATCCAAAATACCATTTTGACCCAGCCTTGGCCACCAATTTTCCTACCACCATCGGGAACCATCCAAAATCCTACATCGAAGCAGCCAGGCAGGGACTTAACTTAGGGACTAGCCATAGGTTTTCCCACCATCCGGAACATCCACTAGCCATCTACCCAACCTCCTATCTGGGCCTTGGAAGAAACCTTGTTCGTGCAGCAGTCGAAGAACCTTCCTTCACCAACAAGTTCAAGCCTCAAGCAAAAGCTAGTCTTCGAGGACGAAAACTGAATTGAGTGGGGGAGACTATAACAAGTGTTCTCTTCGCCGCGCCATCAAGTGCCAACCAATGTGCCTACAACCGCCACTCCAGTGTCCAAGTGTGTCATGGGTGGACTATGCATGTACTTTTGTATGGGGGGATTGCCAATGACATTATTGTAATACTGTAGTATGATTTCCCACATTTTTGATGTTTCTTATTGTCACTCCCCCAAAAGCTTAACGTACTCTTTGAGGGGAGGTAGGTAGTCGAGTGAGCTCATAAGCGTGTAAAGGTTAAGCACGAGATCCCCTCGACACTGTACTATGTGCTTGTGCTTGCCACTGATTATTGCAATACAAATAGCCTTTTGCTAATTCGTGTTCCATCTCGTTGCCTTTTTGTGTGTGTTTGCTTTGTTGCGTAGGCTTACTCGCCCCTTTCGAGTGCCGCACGGGGCCCCAACGATTATCCCCGTGACAACCTAGCACCTTATGACAATTAAGTGCAGCCTCTTGACAACTTGGCAGCTCGCTACAGGCAGCTTGCCACTAGGCAGCTCGCCACARGTAGCTCACCCTCATGTAGGCTAGCACCTCAGAACAACTAGGTGACACCCGGACGACAACTTGCCTTTGCTAAGTTGATGGTGTCCCACCAGTCAGCCTGGCACAGGCGCGGCTTGGCACAGCCCTGGCACGAGCTGGCGGCCTGGCCTAGGCACCGACCTGACGGCCTAACACAGGCGTCAACCTGACAACCTCGAGGAGCTCACCACCGTACCCCGCATTTTACGGGATTGTGACTTGTAACGGCTATATTAGCTCACCCACTCCCCGATTCAGGCAGAAATGGGCAACTTTACCAGTTGGTGGCTTTATCCCCACCTAACACGAAAACAGGTCCCATTATAGCAGGAATCCAGGAACTGCTCCACCTAACCCACGAGGACTCCAGTATATAAAGACCTCACCCCCCAGGGGCAAAGAGGAGGATAAAAGGATGGTAACCCCTACTCTCTAGCTCTCTCATTCTCTAATATCATCTTCAAGCTCTCTACTACTATACTGTGCTAACTTAGCCATCGGAGTGACCTCACCGGGTAAACACCCCCGGGTCCTCTGATGTCTGGTTCCTTGCAGGCCTCTAAAAGAGCAACAAAGCTCATCAAGGTACCTCACCTACAAGCAGCTCATCAAGGTAGTTCACCTCCAAGCAGCTCATCAAGGTAGTTCATCACTAGGCAGCTCGCCACCAGGCAGTTCGCCACTAGGTAGCTCGCCATTAGGCAGCTCGCCACCAGGGAGCTCCACTTCAGCCTTTGAATCACCGACCACATGGGAGCAGACGAACTGACGAGGTACTTAACCAAAAATTTACACATCACGAAAAATTGATACATGACCAAAAACGGTCACATCAGAAACCACATCACTTTGCATCATACCTTACTCTGAGACGGATAATACACCTCCATTCTCTTTCATTATGTGAAGGTCACTTCATTTTATTCCCTACTTCTGACAAACCAAAAAAATCAAATTCGAAGCAAAAGTAAATAAAATTTAGGGATTAAAATTTACACTCAGCCTTTTTGCACTCCCATGCATTTACACCAATGCAATGAAATTTGTACTGCCTAAAATTGTCTGTGATAGCGAATTCACTAAAGGCAGGCTGTGTTTGGTGCAATTTTCATTCTTGTAAAAATTAAATTTCAGAACGAACAGAATAAGAAAACATTTTCTAGCTGTGAGTCAAACACTTTTTTTTTCTTTTAATGAAAAGTAGTTCTTTTTTGTGGCATGAATTTCAGACTCTGGCCCAAGCAACATCTTGGGGGCACTTAAGCAATCAATAATATACAAATGCTAGATATATTGAGATATGGAATCTGCTTTGTACATATAGCATGCAATGAGTGATCCAATATCCTTTGGACCAATACATCCATGTCAGTGCTGTACACGTAGATCTCACATGTCCGGCTGATGTGGCAACTTTGTGATGGTTAAAAAAGTTTTCAATTCTAGTAGAGGATTTGCACACTATTCTTCGTGCCAAATAATTAGGAAAATTTATGCTTTATTAGCCATGTGGCACCGAGACCGCATTATATTCATCCATCCATGTCCAATTACGAATTATAAGTAAGAAACTGCAAATTCATTATTATTGTGCCCATATTTTACAACAATCTCAATCAAAGGATGCATTCAGTCACTCAAACGTCTCCCAAACAAAATGAAATAAAACAAACCCAATCCAATCATTCATGCCCAAAGAATAGAAAGGCCGGCCCATGTGTAGAATCCAAGGTCCAGACTTATTGATAACACAAAACCATTACTCCCAGAGCAAATAGGAAGAGCGATGGTGAGTAAATGTAAGAGGGCATAGCTGCTGATGGGTTGAGAAGGGGACGCATCCCGGGAATTGACGTTGGAGTCGCTGAATCCGCTGGTGGTGGTGATGCCACGGTTGTGTCACTCTCCGGAGGCAGAGCTGGTGGTGAAGATTCAGGGATAGAAGCTGCCCAACAGATCAGAAGAAAAAAGCCGTTAATATCACTAAAAGCTTTGGTGTTGGTGATCCATACTGTAAAGTGTAAACACAGCGAAAACTCAAGTAATAAACAATTAATGCATCAGAATGCACTCAATTCTATCCGCTCCGCTACAACCAACCAGCTGGAGTTACTGCTTACTACCCAAAGCTATCTAATTTTGGGAAGAACTCTTCCAGCCCAGGATTGAGACCTGATATTGATGTAGCTGAGAGTTGGGGTTTATCTTGGGCCAAAGCCCATCTTCATCCCTTGAAAAATTTATATTTAC